TCCACAGTCCTGATTTCCTGGAACAGAAATGGATAACCAATGCTGCCTTGATACTTTAGGCTTTTATTTGTAGATCCAAGTTTAAAAGGAATGTGAAGAGATGTTATGGGGGTTTATATGAGGCAGGGCAGTAATTTTATTCTTTGCCTGATGTCCATCCTTTGCTTTTGTGCTCAGTGTGATGATTGATTATAAGAAAATCTATCCATTTAGACTCACTAGAAGATTTAGTAAGCTCCTGCTAATTCACTTGTCCATTTTTTGTGGGTGGGTAAAAATGTTGATGGAAGAACCGCTAATTGTGAATTACCACAGGAAAAAATTTTTTGTAAACATTGACTGTTGTGACCTAAACCATATATACACATCTTTTTAGAGTAGTGTTAAAGCTATACTTTTTGTGTTGCAAGTGTAAACTGGTGTTACTGCTGGGAGGAATTGGTCCTGTCTGTCTACTGGTGCACTTGAACTGTATCAGAAGATTGATGTAAATTTAAAACTAACCAAGCCAAAAAAGAAAAAAGGGAGCAGGCAACATGGTAGCCGCGGACAACAGTTTTTTTTGGTGGCATATCCTGATGTAAAGGTGACTAGTTTTTTGGCATTTAACAAGCAATGAACTGATCTGGAGAGCTGATCTAACAGTGAACTAAAAATTTTGTTTTCTGATGGTGGTTTTGTGCTCACTCACTGGTATGTGCAAAACTGTCAGTGCAGGAAAGAGAGCAGAGCTTGTGATCACTGGTGAGGATGACCTCGGTTGTAGTAGTTCTGATTTAAATGGGTTTAAGTTCCTGTGAGATTGCATGCTTGGAATTTGGATCCCTGTTCTGAATTGCAGTGTGAAGTCCCATTCGCTCACTGACCTTTTAGTCACTGTTAAAAAGCGTCAAAAGTTTGCAAATACCTGATGGGCATTCATAGTTGCTTCGTGACTGACTTCTCTGTGTTAGAGGACTGTGCCTTCTAGTTCTTATAAGGTCATGTTTTAATTTTGGCAGCTGAGAGAAGTAACTTTCTTAGCATGAGAATTTAAGGATATATTAGTGATCTAGGGATTAGTGTCAAAGAGAGTACCAGCCCTTCCCGCTGGCATCTTGCACTAATGACCATGATGTGTGAGATTTTGTGTCTGAGTTAGGGTGGTCTGTCAGTGGTGAGTACTCACTGTCCCGTATTTTGAGTTAGTTATTCATAACTGTCTTTTCTAGCTTTGAATTTAGTGCTTTCTGTAACCCCACTGGTTTGGCACTTCCCTTTTGTCTTCATTAGAATGCTTTTTGTTGGGTTTGTTGATTGAACTTAATTGCAGTTTTGACAGAAAGCATAGGCACAGCTTTATGAAGTTAAGGGAACCCGCTTGAAATTCAAGTTGAGGATTAACTTTCAAAGTGATCTGGTATAAAAAAATGCCTTGCTGGCAAGTAGTCTAAAACTGTGCATGGAACTTCAGGAACAATATGATTTCTTTTTAGCGATTTCTAAAATTTTTAGAGGTTCTCATTGCTCTTTTTAGCCGGTAGTTTGTTGTGCTCATGCAGGTATGGCATCGTACATATGCCTTGCTTGCTAAAACTTTGTCTCCTGTTTAATACGTTACGGTTATTCTTTCAGGCTTTTGCACTTGGGAGGCTGAGGAGACTTACCTCCTTCTCTAAAATCTGTTTGTACTTTCATGCTAGCTATTCCAGCTAATCTCTCTGTACCTAATGTCTGTCTCACTCAGAAATATTTCTACTTGACTGTTTCTGTGATTTGCAGCTCCCTATCGGTCTTGTAGCTGAGCTTGTCAAAAAAGCGTTAATCTCTCTTCTGTGCATCATTACTAAATGCTGTTTAATGCTGTATTCATAGCTGCAGAAAGTAAATTTATTACATAGATGGCCCCTACAGTGTCCCCAAGTAAACTTCCTTCACTGGTTCTACTCTCAAATTATTTACTGGGGAAAGATAATCCGGAGTGCACTGACTTCTGTGCATCTGAGTGCTGCGACCCTGTTATGCCATGGATCAGCTTCCCAGATGGGGGGTTTCGGTGGGCAAAGGAGAGAAGAGCAGTGGAATAGGTAGGCTGAGCAAGCAGGTTAGAGGCCGAGTTACAATCAGTTGGGTACAGCAGGGTCTGGAGCGTGGCTGGTTATGGCAGAGCAAAGAGCACAGCTCCGTCGTTAGGGGTGGTGAAGAGGAGTGGCGATGGCTGGGCTGCAGCTGTTGTTATCTCTTACCTAATGTCGTGGTTCAGGCTGCTCCGACAACTGAACTCCACTCAGCCGCTCGCTCACTCCTGCCCCACTGAAGTGGAGAGGAGAAAAACGTAACAAAAGGACTGCGGGTCGAGAAAAGAGCAGAGAAGGAGCACCCACCGACAATGGTGCCGGGCAAAACAGACTCGGCTTGGGAATAAAGCAAAACAATTTATTAGCAGTTACTTAAGCGGATAAAAAGAAACAAAGCCAGATCTTAAAAAACAACACTTCACCCTCTTTCCTTTTCTTCCTGGCACTGCCTCCTCTCCCAGTGGCGCAGGGGGACAGAGAATGGGGGAGTGCAGGTCAGTTCATCCCATGTTGTTACACCCTTTTTCCCTTGCTCCAGTGGATCCCCTACTCACAAGGAAAATCCACAGACTTCTCCAGCGTGAGTCCTACTTGCAGGATGCAATCCTTCTCCAACAGATTGCTCCAGTGCGGGCTTTACCACAGTCTTGGATTCTTAGGGAGTTGTTGCCACTTGCTCTGATGTGGGTCGTCACACAGACTCTAGATCCGTCTCTACTTTTGTCATGTGTCCCATTCTCCACGACTGTCCTCAGGCTCAGGCATCTCTTCTCCGACGTGGCTTCTCCACGGGCCGCGAGTGGGTCTCTGCTCCACCAAGTCCATCTTGGCTGCAGGGGGGCTGCTGCTGTCTCACCACCAGTTGCAGGGGAAACTCAGCTCTGGCACACCTCATCCCATTCCATCTTCACTGACCTGGTGTCGGTGTGACCGCTTCTCTCAGATCTCAGCCCTCTCTGGGTGAACTCAGCCCAGCCGGCACCCTGGGAGCGGGGCGCTCCCCAGGTTCCTCCGGTGGCTCCACCACCGCCATCCTCAGTGGGTCGCACTGGCCCGGCGCGGGCAGCCGCCTGGCCAGGAGCCAGGGAGTGGGGGCAGTGCCCTCCTCCCTTCTCTCCTCACTCCAGGGCAAAGCACCTTTTCTGGTTCCTTTGTCCCAACTTAAATAGGGCAATTCACAGAGGTGCCAATTGGCTCAACCCCGAGGAGAATGGGAGTCCGATCTGGTGGCCAGAGATGGGTCTGACCCGGCTCTGAAACTGGGGGAGTCACAGGGAGCGAATCCCCTCTCCCACCACCACAACCCCTTCACACAAACCCAGCACACCTAACATTGGTCTGTCTTTTCTCCAACCAACTGTGAAAAGAGAGCAAAGAGGGAAAGACGTGGAGATAGTAGGCCTGGCCTAGTGTCAGACTTGAGTTCTTCTTCGTTCTTGTCTCGCCACAATTCTGTGTCTTGCTGGGTGGGAATCTTTCCTCTGGAGGTTTCCATGGTTCCTCTGTAGCTACCAGTTGTCGTCTTATATAGGATGTGGGTGAACTCTTTCATCAAAATGTGGGTAAAGCTATGCTGCTATTTCGATGCTTCTTAGAAGTCCTTGGAAATTTTAGAGGTTCAGAAATGTCTTTTAAGTCTTGGATAGTGAACGAGGGCAAGGGGAAGGATGACTGATGAGGGGAGGGAAGGGAAAGTCATTAAAATCGGAACTTCCGAAAGTGGTTTTACCATGTCCTGGAGGTACTTACTCAGTTTAGGTGGTCCTGTGAAGGTAAGGGATAATTTTGATCCAAACTGAAACAGCCTATTGTGGGTAATTCTGATGTTTGGACAACCTGTATATTGGTGAAGTAGCTTTATAACTTTTGTGCTCTTGTAAACTTGTCGTTGCTTGGTGACTTAAAATTACCACAATTTCGTCGTTAAAATAAACATTGTTTTGTTCTCAGTCTGCTGCTCTTGCCGTCCTCCTGTTCTTGTAATACAAAATGACAATCGTAGTCTTCCTCAAAAAACCCAACGAACTGGAAAAGCCTCAGATATTGAGGTCCTAAAAAGGAAAAAAAAACGCCAAAACAACTGTGTAGCAATATGCCCCATGTAAGAAATAGTTTCTAACAGTTTTCATAGATGTGTGCTTTATGGATGGTTAAGTAACACAATTTCATGCCTCGTTGGCACTATGCAACACGTAAAAATAAAGCCATTCGCCGTATGAGGAAGCTTGTAAACTAAAACTAGTAGCCAAATTTGGAGGCAACACATATTTGTTGTTGTTAAGATAGAAATTAATATTCTTGTGGGTGAATGCAAGGAGGTTGTTTGAGTAATTTGAATTGGGTAATTTTCATGACAATAACTGTGATTAAGGGGGAAGCAGAAGGAACATGTGGTCACAGGTTGGTGAAAGTGCAGGAGGGTAGGGGTGGACAGGTGGACTGAGTCAGAAAAGGAATCAACTGGAGTGTTTAAACTTCCTCATTACAGACAAGGAGTTAGAGGGAATTTCTTGAGAGATCAGGGTATACAAGGAGGCCAAACTTCTAGAACTTCTGAGGCAGGAGTGAGATAGTAGAGACAAAATTTTGAACAGCATCTAAGGATTTGGCAATAGTAGTCTCATGTGGGATGGGTCTTTAGGTCCTTTTCTTGGCATTTAGAGCTATTTCACTAGATACAGAAAAGGTAGCAAAGGATTGCAAGTCCTACGGAAACGCGTAGTCTTAGATGAACTGTGGCTCACTTGCATGTGTTAGGGAAACAAATTGTCCTGTAAGGAAATTTGGGAAGTAAATAAAATTTTCCTGTGGTAGTTTTCTTCTTCCATCATAATATTTTCTAATGTGACAGACTAGCGATTGGCGGCTCCTCTGCTGTTGCTGTTAAATGGTGTTTTCTCTCCTAGGGTTTGGACGTGGCAGAGGGAGAGGAGCGGGGAGGTTTTCAGCCCAAGGCATGGGGTAAGAAACATGCAGAGCACAGATTTTTGACAAGGATCAAACTTAGTGGCAATATTAATATTGCCACTGAATGTGTTAATATTACTGTATGTTCAATAAACCATGATGGATGCAAAAATTTACAGATCTGTTAGATGATTAATGGATTATTTTTGTTTTAAACCAGTATTTCTAACTAGACACACCTATACAAACCTAATATAAGTTCGCTCAATGTTAATATCTCAAACTTGGAGAAGCTGTTGGTGTCTATCAGTAGCAGCCACGTAGTGCCTAGGAGGCCGAAAGTTCTGTGTGGTGCCTATAGTCCTAGGTCAATTTAAAAACAGATTTGTTTCGATGTAATGTAGAACATGCAAGTTCTCTATAAAACTAGAAAGACTGGCGATTATTAACTTTCTTCTGTTTTTGAGGTTTCATGCTTTACCTGTTTGGACCCTAAAACAGAATCAAAAGAAGTTACTCAGCAGCTCTAAAGTTTGTTCTCAGTTTTGTTGGAATTACTTGCTTCAAAGGTGTAGTCTCCTCTACTTTAACTCAGTGTTTGCCTTTAATGACATTTTATGTAATATTAGTGATGTCATGATGAACAGAAGGCTTGTTCTACTTTCTCTAATAATGCTTCTTGTTCATACTCCTAGATGGTGAACTGAAAAGAGGTTTTTCTTCAGTAATCTTTTTTGACCTTTTAGCTGCATCCGTGTGTTTTGACATTGGTGTCAGGAGCACATTGTGAAATAATCTTACTGATGTTCCGACTCCTGTCCTGTGCAGATCCAGTGCTCTCAAAGGGCGTGATACTGGTTTCTCGTCAGTCAGCTACCTGCTGAGAAACTACCAGCTGAGAGGGGTTTATCGTGCATATAAAGTAACGCTTTCTAAGACTGGGAGGAGTAGATATGCTGTTAACTGCTTTTTCAAGAATTGTTGTTTTGGTTCAGTTTCTCTACAGAAATTTTTTTTTTTTACGGTCTACTCACTTTTTTTCTCCTCTTACTTCTTTACTCCCGTTTTTATCCGTGTCTGCTCATAGAGGAAAAATTCCTTTTGAAACCAAAGCTATCAAGATAAATTGTGTGGAAATCAAGATGTTAGATCTAATGCAACTTCAGCTAAAAATGATGACACTTGTGTTCATTGAATGACCCATGTGTTCTCTCCCATTTCTTAACTTTTGAAACTCTAGGACATTTAACCCTGCAGACTATACGGAGTCTTCTGCCACTGATGGCTTTGGGACAAAATCAGAGATTTGGGAGACTGGTCAGAATGATGCAGATAATGGAACTGGTAAGATGCTTCAAGAAGTGGAAGGATTGACATGAAGACCTGTAGCAAATTGCAGTTAAAATAACCATTCTATTAGTGTTCAGTTAACTTCTGAAAATGTGAATACATCTTAGGTTACACAGACATGAGTTCATTTTTACAGCTTTACGGCTACAAATGTGCAGAGCACATGCTGTAGCCTGAGTGACTCTCTGGTTAGAATGAAGGGAAGGCAATTTGCAATTTTTTTTTGTTTAAGTACTAACAATCCCTTGAGAGAGGAAGGGATTTGAAGAGTTATTGGAAGAACCTCATATGTGAAGAACTGTTGAGATATCTTAAGTACTGCTTGAGAGCTCACCTAATGTAGTTAAAGAGTGTAAGTCCTGCTAAAAGTGTTTGGTCCATAGACATGGGGCAATACAGTGTGAATATCTTAAGTAGAAGAAGAAAAAGAAAAGAAAAACTGTTCACAAATATGAATGCACTCAGTGGCACTGGGATGACTTTGGAAGCCCCACCTGTACAACACAGGAATGTAAGGATGCAAGTCTCTGTGATGGAGGAAAGTTCCAAGATCTGCCACCTTTGAAGAGAAAAATTATTAACTGAAGCATGAGTAAGCACTTGAGTGGAAGCCAAAAGAGCAGTCTGCCTGTCTGAAGATAGAGGCAGCTCTGTGTTTCTGTATATGAAGTTTCAAGAGTGAAGTATGCACTCCTGGCCAAAGGCAAGAGACAGACATAGTTTGGAAAGGAACCACTTAACAGTGCTGTCATGGCAATTCAGAAAAGAAGAATGAGACCTGGTTGTCTGTGATTGGGAAAACAGGATTCCTTGCTACTTCCCATATTCTGTGACAGATTAAGACAAAGAAAACTGTGTCAGGATGGAGAAATTAATGTATGTTATTGTCCACATTTGGGAACCACTGAGTGATAGAAGAGAAATTTATTTTTTTTAACCCTAGCAAAGGGTAACTCTTCTTTGTTTCTGAAGCCTAGTCAGGTGATTTTGCATCAGCCTGTGTGTCAAGTGTGGAAGGAGAGGACTGGTGCTGGAGGCCGGGGTGTGCTCCATTGAGCTCTGCTATGAGCCGCGTGAGAGGCACCTTTTTAAACTTCATACAAGCCATTTTCCACTAAACCAGAGAAGACAATAACAGTCTCAGAGTTTGGGAGGACTTATTAGGCATCTGTCTTGTCACTCTGAGTGCCTTCTAGTCCAGTGTGGGAGGGTGGCACTGAGTGTATTGATGGGTTATTGAAAGGGAACGCTTTCGCCCGAATGTGGCATGTTTCCAGGGAATTACTTTTGAAACGACTTGAGGTTATAGCACAAACAGAAATGCACCTTTTACTTTCAATCACATTAGTTTTTCAAATAAGTTTGTCGGATAATGAGTTAGGAGGACACCTAATGACTTGAAAATTCATGTAGGAATACTGATACTATTGTTTGCTATATATATGCAGAGGGCAGAGTATGAAGTCACAGGTATTGCAGAAGCAATAAGGCTAACTAACTGAAGAAAGAGAACATATAAGAAAGACATGAGACTGGACTAGAGGTAGAAAATTCACTGGTTAGTTATCAATGAATGCAACTGTAAGGCTGTGGCTTATGAAGGACTTTGACTTCTGCTCCACTTCCCAAGCGAACTCGAACGTTTTGTGACCCTCTCTGCTAGCTCTGAGTACCATTCGTGTGCCTCCCCTGTGGCAACCTCTGTTCCTTGTAGGCATCTCCTCAGTCTTCAGTAGTGGAATAATTCTACTTAGGAATAAGAGTAGCTTGGTGTGACTAAACAGATCCTCGTAAGACCGAGAATGTGTCTGCATGAGGGATTTTCTGCAGAGCAAGCAGATTAATGGAAATTCAAAGTGTACTAGTTGATATCTGGAACTACTTTTTGGACTGAACTGACATATGGAACTTCAGTTTTGCACTGAACTTCAGTAACGCAACTGAAGGCATGCATGTGAAGGTTGGGGAGCCTGGTATGGAGAAGATGATGAGAAATAAATGATTTCTTATTTTAAAAAGAGTAGGCTTTAAAATTGAATCATTTAGTTTTGTCTGAGTGGGAAGCACTTTCAAGCTTGTGATGTTTCTTGAGGGTTATTAGAGGAGGCTGCAGCTGGGGCAGTAGTTTTAAAGCAGAAGAGAGAGTGCTATGAAGGAAGATGGAAGCAGGGGTAGGGGGGAAGAGGGTCAGACGAGGTGTGGGACTGGAAACAGGTTGTCCAAAGTTAAACTGTTGATTTGGCTTGTTAATCACAAGTAACTGTTTTTCAGTTGTTTTTTCCTTAATTTACAGTGCTGTTGTGTTAGTTACAATCAACAGTCTCAGTAGAAAATAAGTTACCAATGTGGAGTTAGTAAAGATGTGAATGAGAGGTATGTGTATGTTTGGAAATCTGTAAAGCCTGCAGTGGAGTAGTGAAAGATATCAGAAAAGAATATGCACAGTGGATGGACAGGATGGCAATCCCTCACTTTATTCTTCTTTAACTTGACTTGTTTCTTCTTTCATCTAAAAAGAAAAAAAACACCACCAAAATCAACTTATACTAGCTACTTGGAAAATTAATGTGTTTTCATCTGCAGTTACATTAAAAAGAAGATAACTGGGTGACTACCTGGAGAAATAAAACCAGTTTCGAGAATCAAAATGTTTTTTGAAGACATCATGCAAATATAAACTCTCTGAGTATTTACTAACTATGTCCTCTTTTAGAGGGTGCTGGGAAAGGATCAACATCAACATTTTCAATTAAAAAAACCCCACACTATTTGTTTCCAAAATGTATTTGCCCCACACGTGCTCTGAAAGTGCTCTAGAACCTCTTTTGCTGAGTTGTTACAGATGCCAGAGGACGTAGCCTGAATGAAAGATGTTTCTAGGTGCACCATAGATTTCATAGATTTCATAGATTTCTAGGTTGGAAAAGATCTTAGACATCATCCAGTCCAACCGTCCCTAATCCCTATTCAACCATATCCCTAAGTAGTTCATCCACCCTATTCTTAAACACATCCAGGGATGGGGACTCAACCACCTCCCTGGGCAGCCTATTCCAGTGGCTGACAACCCTTTCAGAGAAGAAATACTTCCTAACATCCAACCTGAATCTCCCCTGACTAAGCTTATACCCATTTCCTCGTGTTCTATCACCCAACACTAATGTAAAGAGCCCTTCCCCTACCTCCCCACCATCATGTAATCCTGTAGAAAAGCTAGTTGGTTCTGTGGAGGTAAAATTTAGTGTGGTTGGTTGAAATAAAAAGAGAGTAAAGGGTGAATCTTTAATGGTTCATAACATTTAAGTGTAATTGTATTTCAAATAATTTGGCGTGGGTTTTCCTGCATCCTGATTTTTATATGAGTAATGTAGAACTGAAAGGCAAAGAGAAGGGACAGGTGGGAGGAAACAAAATGACCAGTCCTCATCCAAAGGGGAATAAACTTGAACAGCATGATTGATATTTTCTTACAAACATGCTGAGTGTTCAATCTTTTACCTTTTTTGTAATGTACAAGTCAGTGGGAGATCCTGAACAACAAATCACAGCAGTTCTTAGAAATAAGTTATGTTGGAGGTGGTCACTCCTCAAAGTAGGTTATAAAAATGGTATTGTATTCTAGGAATTTACTAATACCTCTACTTTGATAGAGTTTCATAAATTTCACAGAATAAAACTTGCTTTTTTATTTTGGTTATGAGCAGCCTTAAATGACTCTGAAACTGAAGAATGACAAGAAAGAAAAAATAAATTATAGTGTAATTGTCAAGGGGCAAGAAGGCAATTGTGTAGCTTGGAAGTTACAAAGAACTGTTTATGGTTTTTTTTAATGACTGCAGTAAAAGTCAGAAGGAACATTTTAAGGAAACCTTCAGCTCATTCTGGAATGTGAATGTAATCCAGAAGGAAAGGATTATAACATAAATTTGGGATAGACCAAAATAAAATTATTTTGAGGCTAATATCTGTGACTGATTATTCAAAAAAGGAAAAAAAAAAATCAAATAGTGTGTTGGGAAGTGAAGAATTGGAGGAAAATAGCAGAAGACTTAAGAAAAACATGTATTTTACTTTTTTTTGGCATTACAACTTTCTAAAACTGAACTTGTTACAAAGGGAAACAGGAAAGATTCACAGATAGCTATCTAGGTTAAAGTTGCTATGTCAAGGATCCTTGAAAACATAAAGCATAATTTCAGTGGAAAACAGAAAAGTCTTAAATTGTGATGCTTTGCAAGGCTTCGGGGTAAAGGTTGGAAAGAGGATATATGGAGTTGCAATAATGCCAAGGTGGATTTTGGACTAAAAGGAAATTGATAGCTTGTGGCAAGATCAGACTTTGAATCCCATCAATAGGAGGAAGGCATTAGCAAGCTGGATTTAGTATAGAGAAGAGCAGTATAATGACTGAGGCTGGAAGGATTGAGTTGGGAAGCTGAAGTGTTAATAAGCAGCAGCAATAAACTTAGCGGCTTGGGTGAACTAATAAAAGGGTGAAGGTTTGTGTTCGGTATTAAAAAAGAGTAAATGCACCGAACCATGTTCATAAGTAGGAGCAACAGATAAATGTTTAATTTGAATGAGAGGAAAATGTCCCAGGTATTATTCCAAACAGGTTTGGTCTTCCAAAAGTGATGGGGAATACTCAAGAGTTGGGCTTGATTTGTCTGAGCTCTTTTTGTGTTTGTTTTAGAGGAGTCCAAGCTCATTGAAAGAGTCCTGGCACCAACACGAGGTTTGTCTTCTACAAAGGCCGGCCTTTTGCTGCCTAATGGGAGATAAATATAAGCAGGGAAAATACTAGGATTTATTTCTTTAAAGAAGAAATACCAGACGAAGGGATCCTGTGCTCGTCAGGAGAAGGGAAAGAAAATCAACTGTTTTTCTAAAAACTGCTGCTCATTGGGCTTTTTCTCCTTTCCACAATTTCTGTGGAAATGTGCAGATTAGAAATTTGAGGCATTGTAGTAGTTTTGCTGTGCTCAGACGTGATTAATAGTTATTTTTCAAGTGCATTGATTTCTACACAGCATGTAGAAACCTGGTTAGGGGCTGTTTGGTACAATGTGAGCGCGAGATGTTTCAGGCAACTCTACATTGCTCCACAGAGCCAACAGAGAGCGGATGTTACCTTGCTTGGGACCTGCCAAATAATTTTGGATTCCAAGGTATAAACCCCCTCTCTTCTTCCCACTGTGTGTGTATCTTCGTGATAGACCTGTTCACCTCACTGGGTCTGTGCCATTTGACCCTTCTCTGCCCGGGACGCTGCTTTGTAAAGGTGTACAGAAGAATGCACTAATGCAGGGATGGCATTAGTGCCAACCAGGTTTGATCCTGTCTCCAGGGGGCTTGTTTCTGGATGAATGTGTCTTAGAGGGCTCCTGGTGAAGTGAAAGGAGATGATTAAAGCAGTAGTTCTTTTGCTTTTGTACTTGATTAAAGGTGATGGTAGCAGGAACTTTACTGCTGGTGTTTTCTTTGCTCGTGGTTATGTGTTTAGAGTGAAAGCTCTGGTTGTTGCTGGGATAACCTTCCCTGTGCTTACGCTGCTGGACAAGGCCTTCAGTCCGTTTGTTGCTCTTGCATGTCTGTGTCCGCTGTTTCCTATGGAAGGGGTCAGGTTTCTGCATCTGTCGGATCGTTTCCCGTGGTTTTGCCATTGTGGCGTGCCGTGGACTGCGCACTGTGCTCCAGTGTTCGACGGATAAACTCTGCCACAAGTTGTGGGAAGAAGTGTTTTGGAACTGCAGTGGAAGCTTACTCGCTCTTCTGCTGCTGTTGTATGAATTATGTATGTTTTAAAATGAAATTGCTCTGTCAGGGGAGGGACTGGGGTTGTTCTGCCCTGAGGGGAGAGTTAACAGTTTGGAGAGGAGCCTCCAGAGGCTTGAATTAGGTCTTGAATTTGAGTATGTTGAAAGTAGGATTATGGATGTTGGAGCAGTTGTTGTGGTTGTGTTTTGTTCGGCCTCTGTATGAACTTCGTCATGAAACTTGGGAGATCCCGTGGGAGGACTGAGTAACCTGTCACTATCATTGTGAACATCAGAGGAAGTTCTTCCAATGCTTAGGATTAATCGCTGGTTGCAGACGTGCACTGGTGCAAATTGCCTGGAACCATAGTGACTAAGATACTCCCAAGATCAAAAATTAAAGGGGAAAAAAAATCCTCACAGAACTTTACACCTGCAGACCAATTTTCTAGAGCTTCCCATGTTTCCAACTACCATCTCCTCACTTTGTGTTCCACTAATAATGAAAACAGGATTGCTTGTAAAGCAGAAGGGTTGAAATACGATGTGCTTTTAGCTTGTAACATTTTTCTTTCCTTCCCCAAATTACAATAGGAGCATGGAAAAACTCAATAGAAGAATGGACAGCAGAAGACTGGAATGAAGATGTAAGTGTACCTTGTTGGATAGACCGATTGATTGTTTACCCTTTTCATAGTTTCCGTGTTGCCTTCAAAAACTAAATGTTCGAAATAATACTTTACTGTATTCATGCAATGATATTTTTACTGTGTTTCTTGCTGTAATTCCTGTTTAAAATATATATATTTAGATAAGCTTATTTTAAAAATAAAATTGAATCAAGAAATATTAATTTATTTTGCTGTATGGATAATATATAGATAATAAAATTTTAAGTTTTACCCCAAATTAAGAATTTGTGAATGATAGTTCTCCACTGCTTAATGCTATGGGTGTTAACTACGTAGTTCCTCCTGCTATTGTGTAGAGATTTAAAGCCGTATTATCACAAGACTTTTATGTAATTAAGTGCTGAAGCTTACTATCAACTTTAGACTCCTCATTTGATGCTTTTTGTTTGAAATCTGCATAGTTGTTCCACTTGGTCTACTTCATAATGTTAAAAAAAGAAGCTAAGTAGCGTGCTGATGTTAGCACTTAATGGCTTCATTCCTGTCGTTTTGTCATGATCTGTTCTCTAAAGTACTACACCAATTTTGGTTCTCCTTATCTATCAGGCAAGAGATGTCCTCCTGGTCTGTGAAATATTTGGCATTTGTGATGATCATGTGTGAAAATTGCCTTTGTGATTTTAGGTTTTCAGTTACTGTATTAGGGCTTAAGCTGTTCAGAAAGCAAACGAGACAGCAAGAAACATGGAAAGGAAAGCCTCGCTTTAAAGAAGTTGTTTTGTCTTTTATAGGAACATCCATTATTTCAGGTTTATTTTCAGAAGAGTGAGAGATTGTCTGGGAAGTCATCCCTTTTGCCTCCTCCTGTCGAGCGGTGTGTCAGTGTTATCCTTAGAGATTTGTGAATGTGTCATATAACAGATAGGAAAACTCTGTCCTTACCTAATGAGAGGGCTATGTCTTTTGAGAAAATTAAAAGAAACTCTAAAATTCTTAGGTTTTCTGTATCAGTTACTGGCCTCAAAAGCTGGCATCTTTTTTAAATTTCTCCTCTATTTCTACAGGACTGTGGGCTAAGAATAGTGAAAATTTATGGCCTTTTTTCTTGCTCCTATTTGCTGCTGGTGCAATACAGCATGTGTAGTACAGGAGGGGTGTTGACCAGTGCTCACTAGGGATACATTTTTCTTTTAAAATTAATTATCAAATCTGAGTAATTTGCACATGAAACTTGAAAGAGCAGCACATGAAATCTCTAACCTGTTAATTTTTATTAATTTAGAGGACTGGTTGTTCAGGTGCTGATGTTCAGAAAAAGTGAATGAAATGGCGAGCTGCAGACACATTAGCCTAAAACATGCCTGGGTGAAAAATAAAGGGAAAATTGAATATCTGACTTAAAAAACATAGAGGTGTAAGAATACAACTTGTGCCATTCAGTGTAGTTTTATGGAAAATAGGTCTACTTCAAATTAACCTGATGTTGGTCTTTAAGTAAATTACAAATTAACTGTGAAGACAGAGTGTGTCCTTGTAAGAGATTTGATCTACATCTTTTGTTCTTAAAATAATTCATGCTATGACAAAACACATTAAGTGGATTCAGATCTGCCCTGCAAATTTTGGCAAATAAATCTTTTTCAGGCAGACCCTTACTGAACATGAGCTTTTCTAGGAGGGCTATAAAGGAATCCAGTCCCAGGCTAGATGCCATCTAGTGTCTTTATCAATGATTTCGAAGTAAAAATAAAATCACTGTCGAATAAAATGTGTGGGAAATCCAGAAATTATTGGAATGGTAATTGTAAGTAAACCAGTCATGCAAAGAAATTTGGACCTCTACTAGACTTGGTCTTTTCAAATTGAAAGTGCTTTAGTATAGCCAAGTGCCTATTTGTTTTATAGGAATGAAGGCACACCTCCAGAACAAGAGGCTGTGTTCTGGAAAGGAAGAACTGAAAAATTTTCAGGATTGTAGAGGATGATGAAAATAGAACAGCTCAGCATGATCTCCTAAAGGGCTGATGCTGTTACCAAAAAAAAAAATCTCTTGTAGTCTTTTTGCCTGTAGGCATTCTTCCCTGTCTCTTAATCATTCTTTGAGTGATATTTCTGTATGTGAACTCTCCTGAGCTTGATTCCAAAGTACTGCATCCAATTATTCATTGCTTTTACAAAACAAAACTTGTGGAAAATAGCTGAAAATTATTTACTGGTAGAGTAGGTGCTTGAGAGTGAGATTTTTAGTTTACTGAATCTGAAAAAGTTACTTTAGTAGCATATAATGGGCTGTGGTTTTAGTGTAGCAGAAAAAGGTATAATGTGAGCCTATGTCTGCAAAATGGAGCCCTAGGTTTAACTGTAAAATAGACCAACAGCTCTAGCAGCATGACTAATGATTAAAACAACCAAGGCAGGTGATGTATTTGTTGTCTGCAGATAAAGACCAAGTGTTTTTCTAAAGAATATTTTTGTTTAAATGTTTGTTTTCTAGTCAGATACAAGTGATGGGCAGCTGAGTGAAATTTATTGTTGTTTGACTTGGGAAAGATTAGATTTTTCTAATCTAATAGTACTACCTGGTATTTGTCTTTAGTAGTGAGTATTGAGCAAGTAGAGTAGGTTGCCAGCTTACTAAATAAAGTGGAAACTAGTTGCAGGGATATTTTGTTGAAGGGCTATTCAGGGCATGGACAATGAAGGACCAGACAAATGTTCAGGTACTGTAGATGTCTCTGGGTTTTCCTGTTAAAATTGTGTTCATATTCTTCTGGCTAAAGAAAATAAAGTTTAACTACAGAAACTATCAGAAGGGGAGAAATAGAATACATACAAATTCCTGGAAAGTGGATTAAGGCAAACATTTTCTGTACAGTATGTGTAGTCATAGTTTTTGACTGAAAGAACAGCAACACTTTAAAAAAAAAAAAGAAAGAAAAAAGTGTCTTTTAGTGATAGTGTTTCCTTTACCAGGAAGCAGCATGAGAACTTGTTTTAATTTCTTTAAGTTCAGTACATCATATCAAAACAGTAATAAGGTTTTTATTTTTCTGGTTTGTTGATGTCGAGTTTTGATGAGGATGCTGGAGGAGTATATTTTCTTGTTCTCCTCACCTACCAACTGGCCATAGGAGCTGGTAGCTAGTTGTTAAATACGTTGTCTGTTTGATTGGAGAATGATTTTTATCATAGGAAAAGGAGCTGAAAAGCACAGGCATTTCGCTGTGGAGGGAGGAAATACCCTTGCGAGGTGGACGCTTCCAAATGGTTCATGACCATTTCAGTTCTGGGAAAACGCCAGATTTGTGAATGTCGCATACAGGGAGCGTGAATGACTTTGTTAGGAGCTGATAATACTCCTTCTAAGAAATACTAAATACATCTGCATAATAAAACTTATCAGCTGTGGCTCCATGAAGCTTGTGTTGTGACTAACGCCGTGATCCCAGCAGACTTCTGAATTAGGTGCATGTTTCGGGCTTATGGCAGTGAGTTTGCCACAGGGTGTAGCGTAAGCTTCAATGTAGCTGAGCGGGTGGCTGGAGGCTTTTGTTTGGCATGCTGGTTCACTTGAAGAGAACATTCCCCCTCTCATACGTCAAGCATGCTTTTGCATTGTCACAGACGTCCTCAGACTCCTCAGTTTGCTTGGTTTTCAGGATTCGTCAGTGTGTTGGCCACAGTTGTTCTTACCCTGGGTTGTGTGAGCATAAGAAACTGTTGACATTACAAAGAATTTAATATTTTACCAAGGGATTGTGGACCATAGGCTGCTGCTCATGCCACCTCCTTGTGCCACATAATGGAGGAGTCTCGTAACACTACAAGAAATACAGCATGCATTCTAAAATAACATGTACAGTGGGGAAGGGGTTGAACAATAGAGGAACGGCCCTTTTAACTGGAAACGTGCTTGAGCTGAATCTTCTTTCTTCATTTTGGTCAGTACATAGAGTTACAGGCTGGCAACATTATGCACGGGACAGAGCTGTGTTCCAGAAAGATGAGATTAAAGTAGGTTGTATGAGCAGCAAAGAAAGGGAAGGAAGTGGAGGGAGGAACTGTGGTGGTACTCGTTTTTTCTTGACACAGTGTGTCGCACGTAAGCGGGTGTGTGGAGAGCACATGAAACTTTTGAGCTTTGCCTCTGGGTGGTAAGTGATTGCTCCCAGTCAGCTGTTCTGCGTCCTGCTTAAATCAACAGTGTTTCATGGGAGAGTCCTGATCAGATGACCGTGTTCAGGGATGTATGTGGTTTCAGTAGAGCTGTCCTGGGATGGCAGATGAAATTGGCTTCTGTCCGCGGTGTCCTTTAAACTGAGTTGCTAACAATGTATGCAGTTAAAAATGCTTAATTTCCTGGAGGAGCTGTATTCAAATGTCACATTCTAAAGAGATTCTTTGTGAGTATTCGAGTCGGCCAGTTATTCTTTAGTCTAAATACAAAGCTACTCCAAAGTAGTTAAAGGTGATTTTGTGCAAATGTAATTTAAAATATAACTATTATATGTGCATATCTTTATGTGATTAAACCTAACCTGTACTAGCTTAAGACCTGTTCTGCTTTGCAAGTATTCCTGTCAATAGAAGTTCGTTACCCTTAGGAATTTGTAGCTGTTTAACTACTATTTTTTAAAAAAATAAAAGTTATTTAACCTCCCCCGCCCCCAACAAAAAAAAAAAAACCAAACAAAAAACAAAACCCAAAGAGCAACCAACCAACCCACATACAAAACAAGATCGCCTGCTTTCTGCCAAAAACCCCAGCCAACCAGCTTCACTTCCTCAGCTACCTGTGCAAGTATCTATCGTTAACAGCATGGTGAAAGCAGTAGTTTTCTACTGTGGATGGTCTGACTGGTTATACTGGTGTAAGCAACTACGTGGTTCTCCCTTTGTTATTGTTTTCAAACTCACGCTTACAGAGCAATTGGTTTAAGACGTTATTGGTGCCCCTAGCAGAAATACCAAGAAGGAACCATGAGTGCTAGTGCACTGTGCGTGCCTGAGTGCAAACCTGCTTCCACTGGTGATGCAGACGGTAATGTGAGACACAGGGACACGTGAAATGAGTGGGAATGGTGCAGTGTGTTAGATTTCTGCAACAAGATTTATCAGAGCTGCTCTGTGGAGTCCTGAATTCTGTCTGCACAAGGTATCTTTGCACTGATGACATACCAGTTGTCACATTAATTACTGTCTACTGGTATATTTTTCAGTTAAGCTATTGCTCAAGCTGATGTAGTTGTATTGGTATACCATTGTGTGTGTTCAGTGGATCAAATTTGCTAACACTTTAATTAAATTAGTACTTGATTCTGTGGAGAAGACGTTGCTGAGGTTTGGCTATGTGTTTTTCTCTTTTTAAGCAGAGCTGCAGGATAATCGATTGTAATGGTATTTTCACTTTATTTTTATCTAGAAAGAGCATGACCGAGATGGAATTTCTACAGATGTCACAGCAGTGAGGCATGAACATGTATGTGATTAAAATACCTTTTCTCTCCCCTTCTCTCTTTTTCAGCTTTCTGAAACAAAAGTCTTCACTGCTTCGTCTGTTCCAGCTGACAATCATGTGACTCCTGGGCAAAGGTAGGCTCTTCCATGTTTTCCCTATACCTTAAAAACCTTCTGCTTGGTGAAGCAATACTAGCTTGCTCAGATAAAATGTTGAATGAAACACAGGGCAGCCCTGGTCAAAGATGGGTCAGTCTAATTTCAAAATTGTGAAAATCTTGCTTGGAAATTGTTGGTTTTGTGGGTTCCTGTGATACCTATTATTGACTACAGAAGCAGATCCCAACTTACTGTATCCAGAAGCATAATACCGAGAAGACCCTGTTTTCTGCACAAAGATGTCTTACAGGCAGGAAGAAAAGTAGCTGGGAAGAAAAGTTTTCTACTGTTGAAAAGGAAGCTCTGGCTTTGCTGTCCAGAAAATGGAAAGCCTTCCACTGTAGATGCAAAAAGTGTTCAGAATGTAGTGCTTTGACAAATGTGCTTACAGAAAAGCTTGCATGGGCAAGAAGGTGAATTTCCTGGTAAGCATCACAATTGGTTGCCTTAACCGGTGATACAGAGTTCAGACAGAGAACCAAAAATATGATGGTTGCTGCCTTCCTTTGCTTGCCTTTGTCTTCACCGGATGCCAGGCTGATGGTGATGTGGAATCAGTTGCCTGCATTAGCCTCAGGTGCCAGGAGGGTGGATTGAAGTTGTGTGAGGAAGGCTTCGGTGGTTGGATAGCACAAAATCTGAAAACTAGGTGGCCTAACATTCCCAAACATCCTGATACAGCTGTACTGCTGTCCTCCAGACAGCAGCAAAATTTTCCTTATAGCATTGATGTGATCTAGAGGAGGTATGGTGTCAGTTGGTCTACAGTTTGTATTCCTTTCCTTCTTAAAGGTGATATGCTCACATGTTCATTGTTCTAATGCGAATATTCTTCTAGTGGATGTCCCTCAAATTATGTTAGAAAATATTTTAGTTCATCAACTCAAATTCTGGTGGGTTTTTTTTTTGTTTGGTGGTGTGTTTTGTTGTTTTTTTTTTAATTTGCCATAAGAAAGGTTTGGGCATTAAGAAATCTATGCTAATGCAAGTGCTGGAAGCAGCTTTTCAGCCCAAGCCTGCAGTGCATTTAGGATAAACTTCAGTGAGAATTTTTATATTAGATTTCTTTTATTGTCTGCATGCTTTGCTCTTCCTTGGATAAACCTATGCTAAACATATGGTAGGGGTTAGTAAGCCATGCTAAATAGAAGAAAATGCCTATTTCTCATCCTGCTCCAGGTATGTGTGGTAATTTTGGATATGTACATACTATCTGAGAAACTTAGCTTTTATTTCCACAGCTCTTCTGACTTCCTTGTCATCACGTAAGCACTCAGTCGCTGCATGTGTGACTTTATTCTTTACTGTCCTCATACCTATCCTATACAGAGGTAGGACTTTAATCCCTTACTCTTTTTAAAGGGATAGTGTGATATATGTAGAATGTGGATTATCGATATATGTAATGGGCTTCCAGGCAGGATCCACCTAAACATAAGGTATCTTTTATGACATGTTTCCAGTTACTTGGTTATATTAATCATATAGGTTATTTATGTGATATGTGATGTTATAAATTTGATAATGTTTGAAAAGAGTGCAAAGATCATTTGTATTCTAACTGTAGTGGAAAGTTTCAGCTAGCAGAACATTACTTTGTCAAAAATCTCTGTTCTACCTCTTCTTGTATGACAGCTAAGCAATGTTTGAAAAGACTGTTAATCAGTAATAATTCTGTGGCTGGTATGGCAGCTTTAGTATCCTTAGTGCTTTCTTCAGTTTCAGTGCAGCCTAATCATCATGTTTATTTCAGCCAAACTTTGTTTTTTCTTACAGCATTGATTTGGTAACGCTGCTTCAAAAGCCTGTGACTTCTACCCGAGAGACAGAAGGCAACTCCTTTGAGCCTCCTCAGCAGCAGACCTTTGGCCAAGCCCTAGTCTTCACAAATTCTCAGCACAGCACCCAGCTGGCGTCAGGAACTGGCGGCTCCAGTGCTATAAACTCTTATTCTCCTCAAAGTCTGGTAAAATTATCTTATCCTTTCTAAATGCTCTTCATGAGTAAATATTTCACGTTAAACAACTTTTCCAGTACCAGTCATTAAATGAGATGTTTCAGTGTTTGTAAAATTCAGATGTGAATGTTGAAGGAATGGAATTAAGAATTTGATTCCTTCTGTTCACACATACACAAAATTTTTGAGTAGAGATTAGATGCATTTACTGCATTCTGATTTAGCATGAAATAATTTGGTCATAGTGAAGAGTTCAATGTCAGAAAGCCATGATGTGTTGTTTCCAAGCACATATCTTGAGTGATTTTTTTTTTTTTTGTGGAAACCTGCCTGTTTCTGAATCAATTATGAGGGCTTGCAATTGAGCACTTGTATTTATTCTCTGAAAATCAATTCAACTATTAGTAAATACATGCTATTTTGAAATGCATGGATTCAAGTAAATCAGTTTCGTTGCAGTCACAGTGGTGGAAGTTCTACTGGTGAAAATCAGAGAAGATCTGGCCATATCCTACAGCTACTGAATTTTTTATTTGTCATTTGCCAGTAATCTGGGGCTGAAGAGGTTTTAGTTGCTGCCAAATAGCAGCTGCAGGCATTGACCCTATGGCTCTGTTCAAATTGTTTATTAAATACTTAACTTCGCTCCTTCCCTTCTTCTTTTTTGATAGTCTGCAGTACTTTGTTCTGGCTTTGGAGAGCTCGGATCCTCTAAATTGGCAAACTCTACTGGATCCCAAATCTTGGACCAGTTGAAATCTCCAGGATTGGGTCAGTTTACCTCTCAACAAAACAATAGTAACTCTACCACCACCACCACGACTACCACATCATCCTGGGATCTAAAACCGCCCATTACTCAGTCCTCAGTTCTTAATCAGTTTGGTAAGTGCTTTGACACAGCTTTTTCTCTCTTTCTATCTCTGTTGGCCCTTAAGGTTTCTTAACAACAATGACAGTTTGAAATGGCCTTAATGAAAGACTTTTTCTAAAAAATGTAATCCTAATAATATGGTTGGTTACAGCATTGTAAGAGTTACACTTACTTGCTGGTAACAGACATTACGAGTGTATCTCAAACTAAGTTTTGGTAGGCTTAAGGCTATCCATAGATGTCATTGCATCTTTAGAAGTTGTTGACACTTCATGTAATGACATCTTAGGTTTAAAGTGCTTGAATATTGAAGTGGAACTTTGGTTTGACTTTATTTCTCAGCAAATCCTGGAAAATACTCAATTTTTATGGTGCCTGTGCTGCTTCTAGCTGAGTATAAAGTTGCACCATATTTTGTCTTTTTTCCCTCAAATTTTTCCGTTCTGACCATTACATGAATTTTGAATAAGTACTGTATAATTTCTACATAATGTGCATCACATCACAGTGTTCTTTCTCTAATGCGCTGAGAATGATACAGATTACCCATTTTGTCTATTCATAATTGTATCGATTTTTCATTTAATTCAGTAAAATTGATAGAAACAGTGAAAATGACACAAAGTTGTTTTTTCAAGTGTAGTTCCTAGCAATATTCTCACTGTGAAGAATGATAGCTCTTGTATCTGTCTCGTGCGTGTGTGCATATCTTTCCAGATAGATAAGCAGCCAATTTGGTTGCAGTTATAATCTTTTCCGTGCAGCAATCTGAAAAAATGTTTATGTATATTTTAAGTTGCTTTCTAATGCACTTTACCAACTGAATTAAAAAAACTTCACATTACAAATGCTGTGGATCTCTTATGGTTGTTGACCAGCAATCTGAGCCACTGCCTGGCTTTCAGTGTCTGAAAAATACGAAAGGGGAAGACTTGGAAAAAAAAACTGCTGGTGTTCGGTGTCCCTTGACTTTCAGCGAGATTGGGATGGTAGATGCCTTCCTATCTCTGCGAAAGTCTTCTCCTTTGTAGTGGCAGGAAGTTCTGACTCATAATACCTCTAAATTGCATCTCCAAACCCCTTGGAAATAATCGTGTTTTATCAGCACAGTTAATTGCAGTGAAATTTGCAGTGTTTGATTAAAGTCATCCATAACAGTTTTTGAGGACTGATGTGCGGTAATATTGTGTGACTGTCTAGATAGGTTTGTTTTCGTATTGTAGAAGAAAACTAAATAATGTTTGCCCACAGCTCTTTATTTAAAGAATGTCAAATGTTGACCTCATTTTTGCTGTGGTAATGTTCAATGTGGAGCATGTGTTATGCCTGAAAGAGACTTGCACAAGCTATAAAAATATAGCTGTCGAGTATGTCATCACCCTTATGAAAGATTCTTTCATAGTAGAAACGTGAAAAGTGGAGTTTAATGCTTTACTTTTGATATTTTTTTTTTCCCCACACTGACTAGACTTTAAATCCCAGCCTGAACCATCCCCAGTTCTGAGCCAGCTGACCCAGCGACAGCAACAACAAATGCAGGCAGTTCCTGTTCCTCCTCCTGGGCTGGAGTCCTTCTCCTCCCAGGTAAAACTCCGAGAGCCATCGCCAGTTGACACGTCTACAGCTGTTAGCAAAATGTTACAGCTCCCCACTATATCTATGGATAACCAGGCAGTCACTGCTCATCAAACCCAGCAGAAACAGATAAAACCACCAAAACGGAGGATAACTCCAGCATCCAAGGTGGGTAATTCAGTGGTGGTTTGTCCTTAGTAAACGTAAAAAGAAAATAGAAAAGCTTGTGTGAGAAATAGTGTGGCCAGTAGGAGTAGGAAAGTGGTTGTCCCCCTGTACTCAGCACTGGTGAGGCCACACTTTGAACACTGTGTTCAGTTTCGGGCCCCTCACCACACGAAAGACATTGAGGTGCTGGGGCGTGTCCAGAGAAAGGCAACAAAGCTGGTGAAGGGTCTGGAGCACAAGTCTTGTGAGGAGTGGCTGAGGGAACTGGGGTTGTTTAGCCTGGAGAAAAGGAGGCTGAGGGGAGACCTTCTCGCTCTCTACAACTGTGTGAAAGGAGGTTGTAGCAAGGTGGAGGCTGTTCTCTTTTCCCAGGTAACAAGCGATAGGATGAGAGGAAACAGCCTCAAATTGTGCCAGGGGAGGTTTAGATTAGATATTAGGAAAAATTTCTTCACTGAAAGGGTTGTCAAGCACTGTTGGAACAGGCTACCCAGGGCAGTGGTTGAGTCACCGTCCCTGGAGGTGTTTAAAAGTTGGATAGATGTGGCACTTAGAGACGTGGTTTACCGGTGGACTTGGCTGTGCTAAGTTAATGGTAGGACTCGATGATCTTAAAGTTCTTTTCCAACCTAAATGATTCTATGATTGTATTCTATATATAAGTTGCTAGGGAGAAGGAGAGCAAAGACTGAGGTTTATTTCTTGTTTATAAAGCAGAAATTTCTAAGCAGGATAGTGTTTAGGTCCAAAATACAATGATCTTATCTTTTCCAAGCACAGATCTGATTGCTCTGTGTGGAAAATGACTGTTGCTGAGTGATTTTGAGTTGACTTAGTAGCCACAAGATGAACATGGACTGAAGGGGAATGGACACAGATGACACTTTGATATTGTAGAATAGTTTGGCTTAATCTTTCAGCTCCAGATTAGGGCACAGAATCAATGAATTAATTTCAGGTTACAAGAATGAAGATAATTTATGTGATGTAAACTGGTTTTTTTTTGCGGTCTAACTAAGGGAGTAGAGGGTGTCAGTTGCTGATGTCTTTAATACAGTGCATGCAAAGGTATTATGGCTTTTTTTCCTCCTTTAAGATTCCTGCCTCTGCAGTGGAGATGCCTGGATCAGCGGATGTGACAGGGTTAAATGTTCAGTTTGGAGCTCTGGAGTTTGGATCAGAGCCTGCACTCCCAGAGTTTGGATCAACTTCAAGCAGTGAGAATACCAGCCAGGCAACCAACAATAGCTTGTACTCAAAATCTGTAAAGTATGTGTGAGTTCCCCTTGTGTGTACTTACTTATCTTCTTTAGGAGGTCAAGTTCGTGCCTCACCAAGGCACAGTTACCGTGTAATGGGACGGGGAAATATGATGACCTGTAAGGCTGAGTGTTTTCTGTGGCTGGCATCTTAAAGGAGAAATTACTTTCCTGGTGACAATCAAAATCTCCCTGGGTGGGTTGATGTGAATTTGGAGATTGCACGAAGGTACATAACCTTATAATAAGTGACCCTTTATAGAATCGCTTTCTCATGTATATTTGTCCTGATTTTCAGATTTGTTTGAGGGTTTGTTCCTCACAACCCGAATTTTTATGCTTTTCATCTAGGAAAGATGACCCCTGTACCATATATGTGTGTCAGTAGATTGGCACCAGATCACAGATCTGATGCTCCTATGGGATGAGAAAAGACACCAGGCTTTCAGTATGCTGAAGCTCCTACTGAAATGCTAAAATAGCCAATGATAAATGCCAGTGTACCAGTAACTTATTTTTTTCCTTCCTTATTTATTCAAAACTAGATTTGAACTAGATTTGAAGGGGGAGGGGGGGA